CACCAATTTGCATGTTTCTCTTTTATTAGTGTAGATATACTGTCTACAAGAGACCCACCTCAGAATGAAAGATACACACAGACTAAAAGTAAAAAAATGGAGCCCTAGCTGGTTTGGAATGTTGGCCTGCAGACTGATGAGTACCAGGGTCGATCCTGGTCAAGGGCACATGCCCAGGTTACGTGCTTGATCCTCAGTAGGGGCCAGGCTCAATCCCCCAGCCCTGGTCAGGGCATGTGTTAAAGGCAACCAATCATGTATCTCTCCATCAATGTTTCTCTTCCTCCCTTCCATCTCTCTAAAAATCAATGGAAAAATATCCTCAGGTGAGGATTAACAAACAAACAAAAACAAACATTACATAACTAGAAGCCTGGTGCATGAAATTTGGGGACGGAGGGGTCCCCCCTCAGCCCAGCCTGTGCACTCTCGCAATCCAGAACCCCTCGGGGGATGTCCAACTGCCGGTTTAGGCCCAATCCAGCAGTCGGTCATCCCTCTTGCAAATCGGCAACGCTGGCTCCTAACTGCTCACTTGCCTGCCTGCCTGATCACCCTTAACCTCTCTGCCTGCCTGCCTGATCACCCCTAATTGCCACTCTGCCTGCCTGTCTGATCTCGCCCCCAATTGCCCTCCCCTGTCTGCCTGATCTTGCCCCTAACTGCTCTCCCCTGCCTGCCTGATGGCCCCTAACTGCCTCTGCCTTGGTCCCCACCACTGTGGCTTTCTCCAGAAGGACGTCCAGAAGACATCCAGTCTATCTGCAATCATCCCTAACCATTCTGCCTGCCTGCCTGCCTGATAGCCCCTAACTGCTCTGCCTGCCTGCCTGATCACCCCTACCTGCTCTTCCTGCCTGCTTGCCTGATTGCCCCTAACTACCTGCTTGTCTGTCTGCTCAGTGCACGTCATAGCAACCGGTCGTTCCGCCATTCAGTCAATTTGCATGTTACCCTTTTATTATATAGGATGATAAAGGGAACTATCCAAAAAGAGACTATAACACTTATAAACATTTATGCATTCAACATAGGAGCACCTAAATACTAGTACATAAAACAAATCTTGCTGGACATGAAGAAAAAGATTGACAGTAATCTACATATATAAAAGCCTAAGCAACCAAATGACCAGTTATTATGATCACCAGGCGGCAGACACTCAACACAGGAGCTGCCCCCTGGTGGTCAGTGTGCTCCCACAGTGGAAGCATTGCTCAGCTGACCGTGGGGGGCCAGATGCAGGGCTCATGACTGGTGAGCACTGCTATGGCAGCGCAAGTCTCTGCCAATTGGGACTGACTGGGCACAGGCCCGTGGTAGGTGCAGCGGGGTGGGGATGAGCGGAAGTGGCAGGCAGGAGCAAAAGGCGGCGTTGGACTCCTGGTTTCAGCACAATCCCCACAGGCCATGCCAAGGGACCCCACCAATGCCCGAATCTGTGCACCAGGCCTCTAGTACAGTCATAGTAGGGAATTTTAAGATGTTCGAAATCGCCGAAACCGGTTTGGCTCAGTGGATAGAGCGTCGGCCTGCGGACTGAGAGGTCCCAGGTTCGATTCCAGTCAAGGGCATGTACCTTGGTTGCGGGCACATCCCCAGTGGGGAGTGTGCAGGAGGCAGCTGGTCGATGTTTCTCTCTCATTGATGATTCTAACTCTCTATCACTCTCCTTTCTTCTCTGTAAACAATCAATAAAATATCTTTAAAAAAAATTAAAAAAAAAAAAAAAAAGATGTTCGAAATCAGTGGATAGATCTTCCAGACAGAAAATCAACAAGAAAACACAATGGTCTTAAATGACACACTACATAAAATGGATTTAATTGATCTCTTCAGAGCATATCACCCCAAAGCAGCAGAATGTACATTCTTTACAAGTGCACATGGAACACATGTTAGGAAACAAAGTAAGTCTCAATAAATTTAAAAAGATTAAAATCATATCAAGCATCTTCTAGGACTATAATGGTATGAAACAAGAAACCAATCACAAGAAAACTGAAAAACACACCAAGACATGTAGGCTAAATAACATGTTACTACATAATGAATAAGTTGACAATGAGATAAAGGAAGAAATCAAAAGATATCTTGAAACAAATGAAAATGATAACACAACAACCCAAAATCTATGGGACATAGCAAAAGCAGTCCTAAGAGGAAAATTTATAGCATTACAGGCCAAACTCAAGAAATAAGAAAAATCAGCCCTGCTGGGTAGCTCAGTTGGTTAGAACATCATGCCAATATGCCAAAATTGTGGGTTTGATCTCTAGTCAGGGCACATACAAGCAGCAACAAATGATGCATAAATACATCAGACCACAAATCAGTGTTTCTCTCTGGCTCTCTTCCCCTCTGACCCACTCTGATAGTCAGATGAGGATTAAGAAAAATAAATAAATAAATAGCACACAAATAAGTAAATATATAATACTGGAATATCACCAAAGAACCTAAAATATCACATTAGAAAATATTCATTCAATTCAATAAAAAGCATTAAAGTAGGAAAAGAAGAACAAAAAAGACATGAGACATATGGGAAACAAAAAGTAAACCAGCCCTGACCGGTTTGGCTCAGTGGATAGAGCGTCAGCCTGTGGACTCAAGGGTCGCAAGTTTGATTACGGTCAAGGGCATGTATCTTGGTTGTGGGCACATCCCCAGTGGGGGGTGTGCAGGAGGCAGCTGGTCGATGTTTCTCTCTCATCGATGTTTCTAACTCTCTATCCCTCTCCCTTCCTCTCTGTAAAAAAAATCAATAAAATATATATTTTTTAAAATAAAAAAAAATAAAAATACAGCTAGGTTGAAAGTAAAAGGATAAAAAAAGATGTCATACAGACAGCAACCATAAGAGCTAGAGCAAGTATACTGATAAAGACAAAATAAAGCTTTAGGACAAAATATGTTACTAGAATTAAAGGTCAATTTATAACCACACAAAGAAAGTTAATTCATCAAGGCATATGACATTATAAATTATAAAATATAAGCATAAATGCATGTAATATCATATCTCAAAATGTTTGAAGCAAATCTAACAGAAAAGAAGGGAGAAACAAATAATAATATTTAGAGACTTCAATACCTTACTTTCAGAAATGGAGAAAACCACTAGGCAAAGGATCAACAAGGATACAGAAGAGTGGAACACTATAAATCGACTAGAACTAGCACCTAACAACAGCAGAATGCACATTCTTCTCAAGTGCAAACTGTACATTCTATAGGATAAACTATATGTTAAGACATAAAACAAGTCTCAATAAAATTTAAAAACTGAAATCATACAAAGTATATATTCTCCAAAAAATGGAATGACATCTCAATAACAAAAGGAAATTCGTAAGTATGTGAAATTAAACAACACACCTCCAGATAACCAGTGTCAACAACAAAGAAATATTACAATGAAAATTAGGCAATATTTAGGTGAATTAAAACAAAAGCATGACAAACCAAAACTTAAGGCATGCAGCTAAAGCAGTGTTTAGACATTTATCTATGTAAACACCTGAATTAGCAAGATCTCAGATCAATAACTTAACCTTTCACCTTAAGAAACAGTAAAAAGCTCAAACCAAAACTGAAGCAAGTGAAAGCATGAAAATAATAAAGCCTAAAATGGTAGTAAATGAAATAGAGATTTAAAAGGTAGAAGGAAAAATTAGGAAAAGTAGAGAAACCAATTTCTTTGAAAAGTTCAACAAAAAATTGACAAAAGTAAGCTAGACTTAAAAGAAATTGGAGTAACTCTCCAATTACTAAAATCAGTAACAGAAGGACATTACTACCAACCTCACTATTGATTCCTTCCTATTATTTTCTATCTTTCTCAAATAAACAAAAAACATACACATAAAACCTCCTTTCTTGAGGTTTAGGCCACACATAGCTTTGATACCATCCTCCATCTATCATGTTCTTACAACTCCCAGTTGCTCCCATTCACTTTTTGAAGATTTCATGTCTGGTGCACTGGCTTTCCTAAACCCAAAACCCCACAAAAATCAGAAAATATTTAAACATAGTTAATCCAAAAAGCTAGCCTCAAAATTTCAATTTACTTTATCCCAGTGGTCTTTTATTCAACTTCTAATCAATCCCCTCAGGGCCAAGCAATGGATCTTATCACCGTTCAAAATGATACAAATTTAAATGTACTAACTCACTCTGATCAAAATTACCCATTCTACGAGCTCTCTCAGTAACTCATACCCACCTCAGGTATTTAACTTCGTAAATAAACCTGTTCCTTCATTTTCTTCCAGACTAACAATTCTCCTGACTTTTCTTTCTCAATCAATGCAGGCTGAAACAAATAGCTGATAAACTCTTCCCTCACTTATTCCCTTCCACTGCTATCCTTCCACCACACACAAATCCATCTACCAAGGATCAATCCTGTAATTAACCTTCTCCATTCCTGAGTTTCAGTAGAGAAAAATGAGAGATGCTATACAGGCTGACATTATAAAATTATTTCTGACCTCAACTGACTTCTCAGAAATACCTTCAAATCCTTTAGCTTATCTTTAGTCAGTTCCATCTCCTATTCACTTCAACATAAATTCTGAGCCTTCACCCAAGTCACTCTCCTAAGTCCTTAAAACCTCTCCTCCTGTCCCCACCACCCATAAGCAGATAAGATTACCTTGCCTTCTACCTTAGAACTGAGCTCTCAATTTCCTCTCTACAAATTTATTGTCCTCTCATGCTCAATTAATTTTTTTCCCTTCAAATCACAGAAAGGAATATGGAAACCGACTGACACTAATTCAGACTTGTCCGTGTAATTCAGTTCTAAACACTGTCATGAAGAAAGCAATTAAATAAAAAGGTTCATCTAATGAAAGAGACCTGTGCATTTATAAATACACTTAATCCAAAGTTAATATTACCACAGGAGTTCAAATATAAAAAATTAGTCAAAGCAAGGCATTTTTAACAAGCTAGTCATAAGGACATTTCATATAACCTTTTCCACATACCTGGTAAATGTTTGAGAGTCTTTGGCATAATCTCAGGAGATACCCTCAACATCCTGAGATCTGAAGAGTGATACTCCAACTCTCTGGTTGGCTCATGAGGAACAAATGGAGGCAATACAGATGAAAAAGACCGACTAATGTCCTATGAAGAGAGATTTTTTAAAAAAGAAAGATTAATTTTAGACATCATCTGTTAAAATACAGACCTCACTTTATGAAAATAAATACTCAGCAGTTACACCAGTTCCTTAAGATTCTATTTCCAATCCTCCTGAATACATATATAGGTCATATCTTCTTTGGTCAATTCCAAAAAGGCTCTATAAATTATTCTGAGGTTCTGGAAGTCTACGTGTATAGGAGACCTAGAAGTGTTTTTCTCCTTATGATAAGTATGATCATTGCAGAATCTGAACTATGGTAGAAGGATTTTTTGAAAAGGGAGAAGTGTGTTGTGGAAAGGAAAAAAGAAAGGGAAGTAGGAGAAAACAAAGACTTTTAAGAAATCCACAAATATTTAGAATAATAAAAGCATGGGAAAACTGTATCTGTGATCAGTTCCTAAAAAAATAAAAGTCCTTCCCTAGCCAATGTGGGTCAGTGGATAGAGGGTCAACCCACAGACTCAAGGGTCCTGGGTTCGATTCTGGTCAAGGGCACATACCTCAGTTGCAGGCTCAATCCCAGACCCTGGTCAGGGCATGCGGAAGGCAACCATTCCATATATCTCTCTCACATCAATGTTTCTCTCTGTCTCTCCCTCTCCCTTCCACTCTCTAAACATCAATGGAAAAATATCCTCGGTTGAGGCTTAACCAAAAAAAGAAAAAAAAGTCCTCAAATTTCTTGAAACAAAAGTTGTGGGAAATTTAAACTGATAGTGAAGTAAAGGTTAAATGCTGGCAACCGCTGTATTAGAGGACATAAATGGGCACTTTTACCCCTATTTTTCAACTGAAATATTTTTTTTTTAAATATATTTTATTGATTTTTTACAGAGAGGAAAGGAGAGAGATAGAGATAGAGAGTTAGAAACATCGATGAGAGAGAAACATCGATCAGCCGCCTCCTGCTCATCCCCCACTGGGTTCTGCTGCCGCGCGCCGCCGTGCTGTGCGGGCCTTCGCGGTGAGCGGCGGGGAG